ACCCACCCACCCAGCCACTAATTGACTTTTTAAGGGAAGATTGTATCGCGCATTGAAACTCGTGAAATATAGCATGTTGGAGGCCACGAAATGGGAACCATTACGTCTGGCGAGGATGTTGGAACGTGTGTGGGCTCACCGAAACTCAGTTACCCCCTTTGGACGCTAGTCTGGGCTGATGTGCAGTGTTTCCTGTTCTCCGTGGCTTTTAGGCGTATATTAGATATTGCCCTTGGGCCTTATGGGTAGTTTTACAGGTATGGGGTCACGCACCCCCCAACAAGCTGATACTCTGTACATACAATGTCGGGGGTCTGCCCAGGAATCGATCGAATGTATGTGACGAGAAGGAGGACCTGTGAAGCCACAGGTTTGAAGACAGCGAGTACACACATCCCACACACATGCGGGCCACCGAAGGCACCTGACCGACCGACATACACCATCCCGCGCTGGCACGCCATTCTGCCTGCTGCCATAACGACATTCTCACCTATCACGAAGGCCTCATCAATATTTACATATCGTTCCCACACGGGCTCACACGCGCGCACATGCCGTGAAACATACAAGGCCCTCATATTGGAGACCGAACAGCCCATGCCTGTCGACTGCCATTCTCGCACAAACCTCGTACCCTCCGCTCGTACCCCTCCGCAGTGAAGAGCAGTAGCCCCCCATAATGCCGATCCAAACCCCGATCCAAACCCAAATCACCGTATCTCGATTACTCCATCTCGACACATCCGTACAGCGGTACGACCTTAAAAAAACGGACCTTCGCGACCCTTGACCTCAAGCCTGGACGACGCTTTAGCCCCATACACACAACAGCATTACCGGCCCCCCATACACACAACAGCATTACCGCTCAGGCGTCACGCGCCTCCCCCCCCCAGGGGCCCTCAGGTGGTTTACCACCATCACAATCACGCAATCGCCTCCGGTGGGAAATACGTCCGGTGCACGTACAGCCCCTTGCGACGCTTGCTAAAGCGGCAAAGCCCCACAGCCTCCAGCTCCCGAGCCACCTGCTCGAAGCGACACGCCAGCGCGTCGACCGCTGCCTCGGCCTGTGGCCCGTCCAGCGCCAACACCATCTCCTGCAGGCATCACGACAACGGGGGAACACACACACACACATATGTTGGCCGGGTGGTGGTTCGATGGGTTTACATGGCGTATTTGAAAAGCTGTATGTGCAGACAGCATTTTCCCCGACCCCAGGAACAAGCGTCTAGCCTAGAGAACGGCGCCTTCCGTCCAGTAGCGATGGACCCCCCCCCCCCGAGTACACACGTCCTGCACGGTGCGGTGCACAAAGGACGCACCTGCTTGGGCGGTGCCTTCCGCTTCCTCGGCGCGTGCCGCCGGCGAGACGTCCGTGAGCGACCCATGGGACCGTCCTCTTCCGCACCGTCCTCCGCTGCGTCCGCAACATCCTCCGCTTCTTGTTGCTGCTGCTGCTGCACCTCCTGAGATGTGCACACCCAATGTGTGGCCCGGGGGAAGGGGGGTGAAGGGGGGAAAGGGGGGTGAAGGGGAGAAAGGGGGAAAGGGGGGAAAGCAGTCCACGTCAGTTCAAGCAGAGCCCAACCGCCCACCACCACCACCACCAACAACAACAACAACAACATGGCGTCCGCTGCTGTCCTGCACTACTACTATAATACTCTGCACACTGGGCCCTTTGCAGCATTGTGTGTATATTGCGGGGCATGTATACAGAGCTGTGTGTGTGTGTCGTACCTGCATGCGTCCAAGCCCGGAAGCTGCACAGAAGTCAGCCAGCCAGTCCCTCAAGTCCGCTCCCTCACGGCAACCCGCCAGCAGCTGGTAGGCAATGGCCGCATCCTCCTGACCTGGATGCAATCTGCCGTACGATATGGCGGGGAGGAGGAGCGCTGAGAGTTGAGACAGACAGACAGACAGGCAGGCATACAGGCAGACATTCCGTTCCCTCTCCCCGTCGACACATTTCACCAGGGGTAACACAACAACGTGAGTTACCCGGTAGGTGCCAACACGTCGCTTGCACGGGCTCAATCCAACCCAACCCCTCGCTTCACTCCCCTTCCTCACATGGTCACAAGTTTCATCCTGACCGTCATTCAAGCCCCATTCGTACGATACCGATCTCCAGGATCAGTACGATACAATAACATATATATGTACAGATTCGAGTATACACATACATACAGATTGACCAGGCGCAGGAGGGCCATTCAGACCCACCCTGGAGTCAGGTCCTTGAGTACGAGCTCCGGCTGTGTCAAGGCGGTGTGCAAGGCCAGGGAGGGCGCACCCACCAGCCGCCGCTGCAGCCCCGCCGCATCGCGGAACGTGAAGGCTGCCGAGCCTGAGCGCGGGGCGGGGCGGGAGGGGGGAAACAAGGGGGGGGGGGCTGTAATATAGGAATAGTGGACTAGGGAGGCGGGGGACATCGCAATGCGCTTACAATGCGGTTACAGCCAGGATCGAGGGTGACGTGTGACTGTGAGAACGAAGGTCAGGTGGCCTCAGCTTCGCTGACGACTCACGCGCTCGCGCCATCATCTACATTGCTATCGCCATTGCCAAGCAGTCGCAAGCATTGCCAAGCAAGACTATTATTAGTTCCGTACGCATGCGGTAGGGCGCTTGGCGGTAGGGCGCTTGGCGCAAGTTCATCCCATCCCATCCCCATCCCCGCTGTGCTTCAAGCAACAACAAGTCTCATTTGCCACGAGCGGCGCTGCCCTTTCCCCAGTTCGTACTACCGCGCCGTCCGTCGTACTCTGCGTTGCATGACCTAGCGCTCATTCCACTTACCTGGCAAGTGGAAGGGGCACGCGGCCAACAGCTCGCGTAACGCCGTCGCCAGGAAGTCCGCCGCACGTTCCACGAAACTGGCGGCGGCGGCCGAGGAGGTGCCGGCGGCGGCGGCCCGATCACCCGCTGCCGCCGCTGCCGCTGCCGTACCCGCCGCGGCTCTCTGCTGGATTGCCGTCAGAAGCGCCTGGTCCCGCTGGCGTTTAGCTGCAGTACGGGGGTACGAGGGATATATGGCATGTGGATAATACGGGGTTTAGCCGTTGAGGAAAGGCATGGGCCCCCATGGTGGTGGTGGTAGCGGGCAATCAGATGGTGATGCTGCGATAGAGGACGGGTGCGACTGCCGACACGGTACCCGCTGAGAGCACCTGCTGACGGTGATGATGATGATGAGGTGCCCGAGGATGGGGGGGGGGGAGGGGGAAGAGAAGTGGGTTTAGAGGGGGTGAGGAGATGCCGGGAAGTGTGTTTTGTGTCGCGCTGTGGAGCTCCTGTGGGCCCGGCTGCATGGGGGGCACACAAAACCCATGGTTGGACTCTCTATCGCTGTCACTCGCACCACACGTCCCGCCGTTCTCCGGCTCCTTTGTTCCAGAGCGCCGCTGCCCGTCGCCGCTGCGTACTGCGCCCTCTCCCAACGCAACGCGCTTCTTCGCCCTACTGACTTGCTGGCCTGGCCCCGCATTGAGATGGAGCATAAGGCCCTAATGGACAGAAACCCGAAAAGAAAGAAGGGAACGTAGACAAACAACCCAAATCGCAACAACTTCCGCCCAAATCAATACAATGGCTGGTGAGGCTATATACCACCCTGTAACAACAACAACAACAACAACAATTGCACCAGAGGAGATAAAGAAAGTTACATGACGATCACGAAACCAACACGAAACCAACAGGTGCCCCCCCGCCCCGCCCTTTCCCCCCCTTCCCCTCAGGCAGTTCATTTGCCACTCTCTCGCATATGTTCCCGGCCCCCTTTCCCCTGCCCTCCCCCCCAACACATACCCCTACACCCACATTGCGTCTGTCCAGAGGCGGGCAACTTCAACAGCGTGCCGGCGGCTGTGGAGCCGGGGGGAGCTGGAGCGGCGGCGGCGGTCCCCCGGGCCAGCGGCTTCTGCTTCTGCTTCTGCTGCTGTGCATTGTTGGGCTGCAGGCACTTGGGCGCCGGCAGGGGGTCCAAGCGGTCTAGCCTGCAGTGTGCGGTTGAGAGATAGAGGGATAGAGGGAGCGAGCGAGGGGAGTATATTGGCAACATAGGGATCAAGGAAGAGCACCACCAGCAGAGTCAGCATCAGCACCCCCACCCCCACCCGCACTCGCCTGTTCATTACGCCCCGCAGCTTCTCCCCAGTGGGCGGACTGGTGAGCCCCTGAGCCGCCAACCGCCTGCGTACTGGAGACATCTCGTCAACCTCCTCCTCCTCAACCCCCCCCCCCCCCCCACCACCACCACCACCACCACCGCCGCCGCCGCCGCCACCGCCCTTGCCGCTCCCAGCAGCAGTGGCTGGCACCACATCCTTGCGGCCGCGACCACCGCCGCCGCCGGGCTGCTGCTTCTCCTCCCGTTGTTGTTGCATGGCTCGCACCTCGCACCGACCATCCACCCCCTCCTCCTCTCCATCGCCGCCGCCCGCGGCCTCTGCACCTATGGGCCCCAGGGCTTGGTTGATCGCCCCCAGACGAAGCTCCTGGAGGGGTGGGGGCCCCGCCGTATAGAGTCAGAGAGTCAGGGAGAGCCAGAGAGACCGTAAGTCTGTAACCGTCCTTAAGAAAAAAAAGCAAAGGTTATAGAGGAGTGTGTGTGAAAAGCAGCATCTTCCCTTTTTTTCCCCTCCACGCCAACGACATTCTCCTACGCCACATCACGAACCCCCTTCCATTCCTCCCACCCGTACAACCCCCGAGGTGCCCCCGGGGGCCATGGCCGCCTCACCGCCAGCCCTTTGACAGCTCTCAGCACGGCCCCTGCGGGCAGCCAGTCGTGCCGCAAAGCCTCCCGAGCAGCATCCGTCAGGTCGTCCAACAGCACGTCCAGCTCCTGAGGCGGCGTGTGAGACATGGGTCGGGGAGGGGGTGGCAAGGCCGGGGTGGTGTGGTGGCGGGGAGGGGAGTGGGAGGGGGGAGGAAGTGGACGGTGACGCAGGAAACCCAAGGAGTTATTTGCCTACACGTCCAAGACGAACCAAAACTGCCATACAAGTCCACACACACGCGCACACGCACACACACCTTCCAGCCGCCCTCGTCCTTGGTGCGGTTTTGCTTCTTGCATGGTCATGATCATAATCATCATCATCATCATCAGGTTCCCAACCTACCCCCTGCCCCCTCCAACCCGCATACAAACCCACCACCACCGCCATCACCACTATCTGCGCCCCATCTCCATCCCCATCCTCATCTCCATCGCCCAACCCGCCCCCCACCTCCTCGGGTAGCACCCTCAGTGTGCCTCTCCCGCCGCTGCTTCCACCGCCGCCGCCACCACTCAGCGCAACGCCATTCCCCGAAGCTCCCGTACCCGTCCAGCCCAGCACGCCAGCCAGCAGAGACTCCCCCAAGGAGGGCGGGGGCCCCCCCGCCGCTCCCCCTGCGTGAGGTGCCGCCAGGGCCGCGGCGGCTGTCGGGTTCTGTTTCCAGAAGAGCGGACTGGCGGCCGCTACGTAGAGTGAGGGCAGGGTGTAGCGGTGGCCTCCGGGCAGCTGAATGGCTCCTGGGGGGGGGGGACGGTGCGGTGTTTGTGTATGTGTTTGTGTATGATGTATGTATGTGCTTGTGTATGTATGTGTTTGTGTATGATGTATGTATGTGCTTGTATATGATGTGTGGGACAGGGGGGTCAATCTTCACCCTGTGGCCGCTACCCGTCAGACCCTGCCTTCCCCGGTATTTCGGGGCACCACCCACAGGTTCCGCACCCCCCACCGGCATCCAACGGAATCTGCCGGATCAACGGCAGAGGCACAACTCCATTCCTGGTCAGCCCGCAGGTCAACTTAGGATTTATCCCAGGTCACCAACGTCCATCGAGTTGGGGCACTTTTACCTTCCACCATCGGAAGGAGTTTTCGACCCTGACAGGTCTCGATCCCGGAACCTCCGGGGGCATCGGTGTGTGCTTTACCAGTAGTGCCTGGCCTGCGTAGTATATATGTATTGTACGTGCTTGTGTTCTATGTGCTTATGTGTGTGGGTTGGGAAGTGGGCGGCAAGGAGGAGGATCATACGCAGAAGTCGAAGGACATACAAGGACACACAAGGACATACATACATACATACATACATACATACATACATACATACATACATACATACATACATACACACGCCCGATTTCCACCCGCCGGCACATAAAAAAGGATGTCACCTCCGTCGACCCCAGGCATGGCGCCCAACACCCCCAACACCCACCCCCCCGGACAGCCCCCGTCCTCCTCCTACCTGTCCTCTCCGCCAGCACCGCCAGCCAGCGCAAACCAAGCCGCCACGCCGACAGCGCAGAGAACGCATCCGTCACCCCCTCGCACACCGCCGACCGCATGACCTCCGTACACTCCAGCTGACGCACGACATCGCCCTTACCACCACCACCACCACCACCACCACCCAAACCGCCATTACGACCCCCCCCAGCGGCACCAGAAGGACACACTGAACCAGCTGCAGAAAAAGATGCGGCTGCCGTGCGAAGAATTTCAATGGGTAGCTCCGAAACCACCGCCGCCAGGCGCGCACCGTGACGCCGCCTCCGGCGCTCCAGCCAAGCTGCCTCCACCGCCGCCAACCCCTCCAACCCGCCGTCCAGAAACCCGTCATCATCCCCATCTGCATCACCTCCATCCCCATCCCCAACATCTCTGGACCTAGCGGAAGTGTACGACACTGGTGAGCCGTCGCTGCTGCCGGACTCTTCACCGTCGCTGCTGTCACCGCTGCCGTCGCCGCCGCCGCGGGGGTGGTTCTTTCGGCCGCCTGTTGGCGGAGGTGGCAGCAGCCGGCGGCGCGAGGCCGCCGCCCTCGCCGCCTCGTCCGCCCGGTGTTGTTGCAGCGGCAGCAGGGCCAGCGGCGCCAGCGGCTCCCTCCGGAAGTGCTGCTCGTTGGCCTCCAGGAGGGCCGCCTGCCCAGGTGGGTGAGTAAGAACATACATCGGTAGGTGGGTGGGTAGGCAGGCAGGTATGTGGGTAGGTAGGTAGGTAGGCAGGTAGGTTGGTCGGGGGTAAAAAGACAGCAGGGCGCAAGGCGTGAGGTGGTGCTGTGTGAATTGGGCCTCGCGCAGAGGCAACTGGTGCACCTGAAGAGCATATGCTGACGGAGAAGGAGAAAGGGGGAATGCATCGCCTGCTCCTCCGAGTACGAAAGAGTATCTTGATTCTCCTCTCTCTATACCTACACACCTCTCTCTCTTTCTCCACCCTTTATTATCATCTAGGGTTTCTATTATCATCTCAATCACGCACCTGCAGACAGGCCAGGGAGGGCTCCAGCAGGCGGCACTGCACCAGCAGATCCCGCATGGTACTCCCGTCCAGCAGCAGGGGGGGAGGGGGAGAGGACGGGCTCAGCAGCACGTCTGAAAATAGAGAGGAGGGAATGGGGGGCGAAGGGAGGAGGATAAGACAAACAACTGAGAGAGGGGGAGGGAGGGCAAAGACGAACCACGAACCCGAGTGAAGCTGCTGTCAAGGAAAGAATGTACAAGAAGCAGAACTGACCGATAGGCGTTTCTTGAAGGCGGCGAATGGAGGAAGGAGAGAGAGGGAAAGTGGGTCACTGTGCACACAAAGAAGCTCGGGTTAGAAATGCCGAAACTTAATTCCCAGTTTCCCTGGTTCTGGCTTCCCACCACTCTTCCTCAATCAGTTCTATCGGGAGATAAAAAGTTTGAAGGCCGGATACATCCGCTTTCTCGAGCCAACTGTCCGAAGCTCTAGAATGTCTCGCTGAATACAGAATCCTAAAGCTCATCTTCCTGTTCCCCTTTAATAAGCCTCCTGCGCGCGCGAGACAGAAAGTTAGGTAGGTAGGTGGGTAGGTGCAGAGAGAGGAGAATCAAGATGCTCTCTCTCTCTCTCTCTCTCTCTCTCTCTCTCTCTCTCTCTTTCCCCTCTTCCCACAAATCCAGCTTCCCCCCTCTTTCCCCTCTTCCCACCTAAGCCGCGCCTACCCTACCCTACCCCCTACCCCCCCTACCCTGGAAAAGGCGGTGCAGCTGCAGGGGGTGCGGAGACAGCTCCGCCACCGCCAGTTGGAGCATGGAGGCCAAGTCAGCGGGGAGCTTACTGCCGTACAGTGCGGCAGGAGACGACAGGCCTGCCAAAAGTAGAGGACAAGACGCAGGAGTATCGGCGGGCGTCGTACTACAACAACATCAACACAAAAACTACTACAGCTTGTAGTACTACTACTAGTACTAGTACTACTGCTTGTAGTACTACTACCAGTAGTGGTAGTAGGAAGTGGAGGGGGCCGCATCGGCACAGCACCGCCGGAAGAGAAAGAGCGAAAATAGATTTCCTATCCACTACCACCACTACCTTGCTTGTCCTCCCCACACCCACCCGCACAAACAACCCTTTCCCCTCTCCCATCCCTACCACTTCACTTCCCTCCCCCCCTCCACCCCCCTACCAAAACACACACACCAACACAGACACACCACCCACTCCTCCTCCTTACCCAGCACCAGCACCACCGGCAGGCGGTGCCTCTCCGCGTGCAGTGCCGCCAGCAGAGCCCGCAGGGCCCCCGGGTCCACCACCCGACCAGCCCCCTCCAACAGCAAGACCACGTGCCGCTGGCGGTTTCGGGAGTGTACGGCGGGCAGCGGCCTCCCGAACGACACGGGCCTTTGGCTTCGGCGCGGCGGCCGCCGCGTGGCCTGAGTACCCCGGGGTGGGTGGGTGTGGGGGGGGGGGGATGCGTGAGGAGGGTAGGGGGAAGGGGGTGTCAGGGAGCGCGCACGCGCGCGCGCGTGTGTGTGTGTGGACATATTACATGGCGCAAAAGGAAGCAAAGGAGCATCTGGGCCGACGGCGTCAAAAGCACACCAGCTGCCGTACAAAACTCTGAAGCAATGACGCAAGGGGGAGATGCGGGGAGGAGAGCGATAGGGGAGAAGACGAACCACGAACGAGTGAAGCTGCTGTCAGGGCAAGACTGCTGAGGGGGAGAGATGGGGGAGGGAAGCGATAGGGGACGGGGAAGCTTGATGATACATTTTGTGCAAGAAGCAAGCATCAACTCCCTGCAAGAGGGGTGCGGTGCGGTGCGGTACAAGGAGACAGGGGGAGCGGATGTGGGAGGGAGGTGGGGAGAAGACGGAACACGAAGGAACGTGTGAAGGTGATGCCGAGGAGGATCGACTGATGTAGCGCCACAAGTATGTAAAAAAACCAGCTAAAAATTAGGTGCGGGAGGAATGGGGTTTCCCGCCTTAAAAGGGACCGAGGGGTCACTCTCCGCACTCACTCTCCGCACTCACTCTCCGCACTCACTCTCCGCACTCACTCTCCGCACTCACTCTCCGCACTCACTCTCCGCACTCACTCTCCGCACTCACTCTCCGCACTCACTCTCCGCACTCACTCTCCGCACTCACTCTCCGCACTCACTCTCCGCACTCACTCTCCGCACTCACTCTCCGCACTCACTCTCCGCACTCACTCTCCGCACTCACTCTCCGCACTCACTCTCCGCACTCACTCTCCGCACTCACTCTCCGCACTCACTCTCCGCACTCACTCTCCGCACTCACTCTCCGCACTCACTCTCCGCAGAAAACACACCTCGGGGCATCGCGTCGCATGGCACGTGCTACTGACACTGCCCCTGCGCCGCTGTCACGCAGTCCCAAAAACCTAATCTCCCCCACCCACCAACTTCTCCCCCCTCA